AAGTTTTGCTCTATGAGCGGTGACAGGAAGCTTCATCCAACATACTGTCCCAGCCCAGCTGTGGGTGTCATGTCACGGAAGAATCGAAATGTTTTGTTTAGTTATTGTGTGCCAGCACAAAAAGTTCAAGTGGACACCGCCCAGACAAACCTGCATTCTATCTTACCGTGTTGACAGTACACTGAGGAACACCTGTGTATTATCTTTATATATGTATATATAAAAACCCAGAGATAACTTTGTGTAAGTGGGAATCAAGCAAAGTAGATGCGATTTAAACCCCCATTAAATACCCAAACAGCAGATCTGAACTTCCTGCAGACTAGATCTCTGCCTCTGTTGCACATATTTAAAGGAGCTTCAGGCGTTCCTCGCAGAGTTGTGATGACGCATCTCTGACTGCTGCCCCATCAACATTAGCGGAGAGACTGTGTTTAGCCACCAACAGCAGAGCTTGCCGCGTTTCCCTTTAAGCATCGGGGCGCACACATGGCGCAGGACGGGGTGGCAATTTCCATAAAAGGAGCGCCACCGCAGGTAAAGTCTGTCTATTTGAGGTTAACTTATCACAACAGTAACCATATCAACAGCCGCCACCCCTAAGCTTATTATCAGCGATTAAGAAGCTTAACTGGACTCATGTCTCGAGTGAAGAGATGAAACGAAAAAGCTTGGTTGCAAAAAAAAAAAAAAAAAAAGGTTTGCGGCCAATGGATCAGTCACAAAATATAAACTTTGGGATTTCTCTACAAAGAAACTGAAAGTGTGCGCGTTATTTGAATAACAGGCTTAGAGTCGAATGAATGAGTGAAACAGAGCAGGAAGAGAAAATTTTCCTGTGACTTTACAGCCTAATAGACACATTCTGTGATCGTGACGTTGGGGCTTTAGGGTAGATTTATGTCCCTCCCACAAAATCAGCACCCAGCAACCTTCTGCACAGTTAAAACACAAATCCCACCTCCACCACCAGGCCTTTTTCTGATATTCTAAAATAAACTTGCAGCCTCTGCTCTCAGACAACAAACAATAGCCGAAAGCATGCAGTTAACTCGCTGTTCGTGCCTACCGAGGCTCACGCGTCTGCCAGACACTAACGCCGGCCAGGGTCAAGCACAAAGGCAAATGTTAAGGGTGGAGTTAAAGCTTAAACCCTTAAATCCACCGCGGCGCTATCACACCATTTAAGTAAGAGGAGAGGCAGCTGTTGCCCAGGCTGTTTTGGATCCTGCATGCTAAACTTTAACACCTCTACATGTTTTACAGCGGCCTGCCTTCTCGGTTTGTGTTTGCCTGCTGCAGCAGCACACGGAGCATGAAAACACAATTGAGACGGAAGCACAACATCTGTCACATGCAATCGGCGCACAACAGACCGTCCGGGCTGCATATGAAATGCTCCACGTGAAGTCCGTGGAGGACCTCGGCGACTGGTTTTTTAATGAAAAAAGGGATTAGAGAGGAAGAGGAGGGGATAATGGTATAAGGAGTGGTTCAGCTGGAACGGGCTGTTAACAGGATGACCCGGGTTACCGTGTCAGGCCCTCTGCATGAGGAAACGCTCCAGCTAATCTGGAGTGTGCTGTTCAGCAAGGAATAACACACTCCAGATTAGCTGCTTCACGTTAGGAAGTGGAGCAGAGTGAGCTGGAAACTGCCCTGACTCTGGAGGAGCAGGAGAGATCCGTAGCTCAGGTGGGGAACATTTGATGACAGAGAAAGTCACACACTCCACAAAGGGCAGTTGAACCTTTTCACCTTCATGCAAAAAATCAAGAAGGACTAGAAAGCTGTCCAAAGTCAATGGGAAGGTAAGTAGGCCTTAAATAGGGCGTCAGTCATGGAAGAAAAGCTGTTTGATACTCCAAAGAAAACGTTAAACTCAGCTGGAGGTTCACTTTGCTGCAGGACGATGACATTAAATACACAGTCAGAGCTACAAAAGATTCAGAATAAATTATTTTGGTGTGTCACAGCAGCCCCTTCAAAGTCCAGACCAAAATCCAATTGAGAAAGCTGTCAAAGACCTCAAAACTGACGTTCATAGATGATCTCCATCCAAGCTGTCTGAGCTTGACAGAAAAACCTTCAGTCTCTAGATACAAAATGCTGCTGGAAGGTTCTGTGAGATATTTTTGCTCTCGGAGTTTGAAACTCATGCCACAATTTTCATATTTTAGTTTATAAAACGTGGTATTGTTGTTATTATTTATGTTTGCTCACTTCTTGTTGACCTCTTAAGATCCAAGGCAAACCCACTTAAGTTTGTTACTCTAGCATGAGGAGGGGGCGTGTATTACTGGGTTCTTACACATTACTTAGTATATAAATACAATGAGAAATAATGCCTCAATATCACTTTAATCGTTGAAGTGAAATCGTCAACTATCGGCCCGCCTACCTGTAGCTCACACCATGCCACCTCCACCGTTGTTTCCGTGTCCAAACCTTTATACACAGTCTTGAAGGAACCCCTTCCGATCTCTATGTTGAACTTGAGATATCTTCCGTCGGGTGAGGTTGCCACCGCTTTGGTCTCCACGTCCTCCTTCTCCTCCTGCTCCCACTGGGTGTCAAAGGTGATGCGGGACAGGACCTTGTTTTGTCTGTTCTGAAGCTCGTTGTCGGAGTCCGAGCTGGCATCTTGAGCTTTGGATCTGCGCTCCGGGGGCCAGTTTCCTCCCACCGCGTTGGGCTCTCGGCTGCCCGAGGGCGCGTCGGTGCCGGCGTCCTGGCTGGAGACGGGAGACAGCTGTTGCGGAGACTCGTCCGCTTTTTCCTCCTCCACTCTGGACTCTGCGAGCGACATGATATTCTCAGCTGACCAGGACAGGGCTTTGGAGAGGGCGCTGCTGTATAAGGGAGAATCAATGTCCATGGTGATTTTCTGCAGGCAATAGGAGTTCCTCCGCGCGTTCAAGCCGTGCGTCCTGAGCACGTTGCGGGACAAGCAGTCGTCCGTCATGTCCACGGAAAGGCCTGGAAAGCCGCGTCCTGGGATCTCAACCTGTGCGTGAGACATCGCGGCCGCTTCAACACCTTCCAGATCTAGAGCCTAAAAGTGGAAATGACATTTGGCACATTTGGACAAAGCTCAATCAGTACGTTCGGGTTCCAGGTCACATTTCAGAGGCAAAAACACAACCTATTGCTTAATGTTAAACATGAATGACTAATTGAAAGCAACGCAAATATAACTTCATTTAAAAAAAAAAGAAAGAAAAAAGAAAAAAAAGAGAGAAGTTTTTGCACAAATTTATGTTTTGTACTTACTCATAAAAGCGACGCGCAAATTTAACGTATAGTTAAAGTCTCCATTAGTTTTCCTTTTTCTTTCTTTCTTTTTCGACCTCTTGTCTTTCCAAAGACCTGAAGATATAGCCTCCTGTGAAAGGACGGAGCAGCCAATATCAACAGAGCTCCAGTGGGCTGTGCGCCCTGATCGCTCCAGCTCCGCCCACCGCTGCTCCTGACGCGCAGAGAAATCCGTCCAGAGGGAGCCAAGACATTGTGGCCTTAAAAAATGTATTAAATCAATTCAGAAAAAAAAATAAAGCTGATAAAAGGGAATATGATAATATTAAAAAAAAAACAACATACAAAGAAAGACATAAGAAATAGGAATGAAACAAAAAGTAATATGTTCTGATCTTAAATTAGATTTAAAAAATGGAGAAAATAAAAGTTAAACTTAGTTAATGGCTAATAATAAAATATATGTATATATTTTAAGTTGTCTAAATCTGACATAAAATCAAATGGAAAGGGGATTTTGTTCGCAGGTGCCACAAGCATCGTGTAGTTTTAATGCTTCTGAGTTAAATTCACATCCAATTTCCACTGATTACGATGGGTCATTTTACTTCCACTTTAAATCTGACCTCATTTTTATTAGCCTGAATGTGAGAGATAAGCAGCACTCGGAGAAAGAGAATGGGAGAGCGGCGTGGCTGGCCTGCAGGGGGAGCCACACGGCGCGGCGGCGTAGCAGCGGCCTCTGGAACATGAAACCTCTACCACAGGGCCACACTGGGCTCCAACCTGTGCCACAAGTGCGCTTGCAGGGTCTCATCAGCAAATATATGGAAATACACACATATACACGACTCCTTGGAGCTGTATCATCCTCACAGCGCATCATGTGAGTGGACCTTTCAGGGTGCTGTCCTCATTCACAGCTGCAGCCAGAAAGAGCTCCATTACAAAGGTTTCACTCTGCACGTCCCACAGAGCCGAACTCTGCCTGTGGCATTTACAGAACTGTGCAGCGGGTTAAACCCTACACAGTTCTGTTTCTATTTTCTTTCAGACAGGCACTTTTTTGTAATGGTTCCAGTTTGGATGCAAAGACAAACTTTGCATCCAAACTTGGTCTTTGCAAGAGACTTGCAAAGATACTTTGTAGTGAACTGCATCTCTGAAGCTTTTGAAATGACTCATATTTAGAAACACACACACACACACACACACAAAAGAGAATGAAGCAAATTTAACAAATTCCTCATTTATTTATTTTTCCTAAAGGATATGAAAAAGAACAGAGGGAAAGATAACAGAAGCGTCACAGAAGCTACAGTACAACAACAGGATGACCGAAATCTGTACACAAAGTCCAATATTATCACGCTCAGTCAGGATGAAGATTGCCTCGAGCCTCTGCGGTGTTCCTCCTCTGGAAGCATTTATTTAGAAATTTAAAAAAGTCCCTCAGGTCTTGTGTTCTGGGATTTCTTTGGGAATTCTGGCTGGGCACCAAGGAACGACGGCCGAGCCAAGGTCCAGCGCTAATCAGACACAGTAAACTCCTTGATAGAGAAAATGGAGATAGAACTAGTTGCATTTAAAATCTAAATGAAGAAGTTGAATGACAGCTAATGGGGAAATGTTCCCCTGAAATACTCAGACATGATAGTGTTTAGTCCCCTGATACTCATTGCATCTTTAAATGGCAACAAATGTCACCAATGATAATTTTATAAACACAGTGTCACCTCAGATGCTTTTTTTTTTTTTTTTTTGTTTCCTCCTGCAAACAATAATGGTTCTCTTCCAGAAAGAGAAGGTTGTGAACCAAAAAGGCAACTACAAAAACATTTAAGGGACCAGCATCCACCTCTGCATCGAGGCGCGACCCATCCTAAAGATCCGCCTTGTTTCCCGGTCGGAGTGTAAAAGTGTGATTCCAGCGGCGCTTTAGAAAAATTTGACACCTTTTCCGTCATCCATAGCGATGATCTCCGCTTTTCCTTCTGTCTGTAAAGCCTGCAGGGAGCGCTGCAGCATCCAGTCCTCTAAACCGTGGAACTCTGCGTAAAAAAAAAAAAAAAAAAAAAAAGGAAAAACGATCATTTGACGGTATTATCGGAGCGCAACTGCTCTGTAACTATCATCATTGGATGCCTTATTTTATTTATTTATTCGTCTTGTCTGTCCACGTTTGTCTAATTTTTTAAACTCAGCAATTCAATTCAACAGGCAGAACTAATATTCACTCATAATCAATACAACAGACGAGGCTCAGCATTGCCGGAGAGACATCACCGACCCCCTTGTGACGACTGTGATATAAAGTTTTGGCTCATGTTTACATCAACAGCCGTTTTCCATGCATTACCATTTTCTCTCTGCCCACTTCTAACACGGACATGTTTTTAAACTACGAGTTTATTTCTCCTAGAAACTACCGAAATTGCATTTAGCTTAATTGTACATAATTCTCCAGATATTGTTCTGATCCCTTTTAGAGCCGTGAAATACGAGAAATTGGGACCGTATCATACCTTCACCGTCTGTGTCATCACCGTTGGAGAGTTCATAAAGTGTAAACACAGAGTTGTTCATGCCATTTTTGGACACCTGAGACAATAGAGAAAATAAAACACTGTTAATCCTTAAATTTACTGTTAAAAAAGAAAAAGAAAAAAGAAAAAAACCAAGAATAGGCACATTTTAAAATTGAGATACTTCTCTACTAAAAATACTTTCTCCTATGTGCCTCTGCATTTGAATCAGAGCTATTTTGCATTTCCATGTTTTCTAACTTGCGAGGGATTTTGTGGAAAATCTGACGAAAATTTTTATTATCTTCATTATTTTTTTAGTTTTTCCGTACAAAAGAACTTTGCAGCTCAACTTTTAACAAAGTGTGCAACAACAAGACCCAGGAAATAGCAGTAAAAGCACAAAGGAATAGAGAGAATACAATAAAACCAGCTGCAAAGAGACGTTTAAATACGATACGAAAATTTAAATTTAAAGACATTCTAGTAGAAATTTTACTTCTTACTGAAACCTTTATTCCCAGATCCATGTCACACAAGTTTTAACACCAATGCTAAGAGAACAGTTTTAAATGTGCTTTTAGGAAGAAACCACCACAGTATCAGTGTGAAATGTCTGATCATTCTGTTGGTTTCTGCCGATACAATTACACAAAAAAAAAAAAAAAAAAATCTGTTCTCCTTTAAGCACAACGCACACTGAGACATCAAGCATTTCATCGTAGCTCAGCCAACTTAAAAGAGAGCGAACATCAACACTGATATTACTGGCGGCCACCACAAAACGTGTAAAAAATACATCTGCTGCTTATGTCATCTAAAAACGCAAGCAGCAACGTAAGCAAAAACGTAACACCTTTGTTTTTAGAAATATATACAATTGCATAACCCCGGGGTGCCAAAATAATGATGTTGATTTATTAACACTGGGTTTGTTTATATGCACACCGCCCTCAGATGCTACTGAGTATAAAGGGAAAGTTTGACACACACGGGGCAGCTCCTTTTGTTTCCTGGCTCGAGCACCTTTGGAAAAACGGAGCTGGTGGAATTGATGATGCATAAAAAAAATAAATAAATTCTACAACTAAAAAAAAAAAACACAAACTATTTGTGATGTGAACAAAAAACATTTTCACAATCATAGACAGTTTCAAAACCTTGTTCACTTTAAAGATAGTTTTACCCTGTGCAATTCAATGGAAAACACATTATAAAGATGTAATAACCTGGTTCTAAAACCCCAGTTCAATCTGAAGGAGAAAAAAAAAAAGCCAGCAGAATGATGCTGCCACCACCATGTGCCACTGTGGGAAATGGTGCTCAAGGTCCAAATTATGGTTTGATCAGACCATATTCTCCAACATATTTTAGGAGATTGTGGCCAGATCTGGATTATGTTTTACAGTCCTAATCCTAAAGCCAGACAAATGAGTCGGACGCAAACAACAGCTGCCAAAACATTTGAAAAACATTCTATATTTACAAACATATTTTAAAAAGTTAATTAATTGTCAGTTAATTAATATAATTGTACTGGTTTAAATAACTTTATGACAGAAAATACTGGCACATTAACTAAGGTGTGCACACATTAACTACAATCTTAATATATTGCCCAAGTTTAAAGAGAAAGTGACACACAATCCATTTAAGCTAGAAAATAATTGCTTTATCTATGTTTTGTAGTACTAATACATTCTTGTTTCAATACATATTAAATGTGTGATGCCTAGTGATCTTTATAGCTGCCTAACACGGAGTTTAAGGTGAGCAAGTGCATAAATGGGTGTGTTAGTTTGTTTCAGATAAGCAGTTCCCTCCGCAGAGATTAAACATGTAATATTTCAAGTTTTGCCACAGAAAGACAAACGGTGTTGGATTCAGACTCTTAAAGAGACGAGACGGAGAGGAGACTCTCACGCTTTCTCCATATCTTTGGTTTCAACAAGTTATGAATTTGCACAGATTCGTCCTTATCGCGAAGGTCACATGAAGATTTACAATGGCAATAGGTGAACGACTGTCATTTCATTAAGGATCAGCAACCCCACAAAACCACTCGGTTTCTGGAAATAACTGCTTCACTTTAGACCGGCAGTATTTGATGACGACGACGTCTGAAGTTCTCAAATAATGTCTTTTTCAGCAGCACAATTTGAACTTTAAAGTAGGAGGCGTTGTCTAATTGGGGCTTTTGGAAAGACTTTGAATGAGATTGGTGTAAAGAATGTAACCGTTCCCTCGATCAGTTCCTTTAGTTTCCTTGTTCTGATGCCACAGTAAGTGTTCTCTTCATGTCTTTAAAGTTTGCTATTAAGAAGTGAGAATTTATTTTAGCGTTCTAGGTAGCTTTTATTAACAGTTTCTTAGGATTTCAGAAGATTTCCAGATTTTTTTTGGTGCTTTTTCAATCATTTCCTGACCAGTACTCGTCATTTCCAGACAAAATGTTTTATTGAAGGCATAAAAAAGCTCTTAAATTCAAAAATGAACGCCGCACACAATCTAATGAGAGATATATCAAATGCACAATCTATTAGCATGTTATTAGAGTCCTGTCACACAGAGTTTTTTTTTTTTTAGATTACTTTAGCCGAATAAAAATAATTATATATATCAGTATTTTACACATAACTAAGTGGTTCCTAAAGAATTGTTGAAAACCTGGCAGGCAGCAAATAATCAGCAGGAAGAGAATCACTTAGATCCTGTTCCAAGTGTGGATTATTTTTAAATGGTCCACATATTTTTTCTATCAGAAATTAAACAACTTTCTGGGCTGATCATGCAGCAAATAACAAAGACGACTGGAAAAGCACAGAATATTTCCACACTCACCCAGAGCTGGAAATAATTAGTTATAAATTAAAATATATATATATACATCACCAGTTTTGCCGTTTACTTTGTTGATCTGCTGCTTCCAGTAATGCAATATAAAATTCCCACTAGATACAGGTTAGTTTATGTGTTGTTGATTTTTTTTTTTTTTTTATATTTTAGAACTTTGTTACCTTAATTATAGCATATTTAGACTCATTTTAAGAACCCCGAGTCCAGCTTAGCCTGAATTTTAAGCTGTTTAAACACAAAACAGATAGTAAACTTCACTTTTGTTAATTTTTTTTTTATGAGTGTCCATTTGGTCAATAACTCAAAAACTAAAATAGCAGGAGGAAAAATAATAAAAATCAAGATCTCGTAGAAAATCAAAGATAAAGCATATCAATTTCATATAAATCATGATGTTGACTTTCTTCAGCATGATCAGACTTTGTCCTTTCATAGATGGCGAAAAAGTAATGCCTTGCTCCCACTCAACGGCAAAATGACAAATTTTCCACTTCCAGGCATTTTAACGCCGCAAAGAAAATCTGTGGGATGAATGAGTTCGATATACGATTCATCTGCAATTCTCTTTTCTTGGCATGAACAGCACAGACTTAGACTGCTGAACTAAAAGTGAATTTTAAAAAAAGTAGCAAAACTCCAAATAATTCAGTTTGGATTGTACGTCTTTTGAACACCACGGAGGGAATAACATTACAGCAGAACAACTTTCTAAATCAATTATGTCAATATTTCCATAATCTATGGTTAATAAAATTGTTAAGATCAGGTTGGTTTTAGAGCTTTGATAATGTTAGAGGTTTCCATGACATAATGGACATGTGATTGGAGAAACATTCTTCTCTTGGTGCTATAAATAACAGGTTCTCTCACTTTATCAGCACCACAGACAAGACAACAGAGGACAGTTTGTAACTCACCCACTGGTATATTAACTTCCCCCATTCCTCTGGTCGTCTCCACATGACTAAACACCGCGACTTATTTTTGTCCAACCACTCCAGGTTGCCTGAAGAAGTCGCAGACAACAGGCGTGTTTAACGCTGCTGGAACATCAACGCGGCAAGAACGTGAAGACAGAAGACGATTTACCTTTTTTCCTCAACTCTTCAAACACAACTTGAATTGCTTCCACTGAGAGTTTTCCTGGACTTGCATTAAGGATGAACCAAACCAACATTCAGACAGGACACACTCATTTGAATTAACAGCAAGATCGAAATGTATTCATGGACATGTTTGAGGCAGTTTTCATCTTTTTTTTTTTTTTTCCCCTCTGTGAGTTTAAGAAAATTGTTAATAAAGTCAAACTGTCATACTTAGAAAGAAATCACAGGTTGTACTTGTCATAGCCATTCTACATTGCAAAAAGAAATATATATAAAACATCACAGGCAAAAATTATATAAATATTCCAACTCCAACGAATAAATTTAAACTTCTTGTATTAAAGATCGTGTAAGTGTGCTTCCAGGATACTCTCTATCTTCTTGTTGTTGAACACGGGACTTTCCTGCGCTTCCATGACATCCACAGTGTAGAGCTTGTGATGCCGGCAGTAGGACAGAACCAGGGAACACCAGGCTGCCAACTGTTTCTGTCTCGTGTCAACATTGGGCTGAAGTCTGTCCGAAAATACAAAACAAACAAACCGAGCAATGTAAGGCATACTCATAACTCAGCAGCTGTCAACGTGCTTCAGCTTATTTTAAGAAAGCATAGAGGTTCAAGTATTAGGACGAAGCTTGCAAATCTGGTTATGGCAAAGAAACTTTGAACGAGTAAAAATGTTTGACAGCACATATTCACATATGGCTGTGCTATAGTTAGGAGTCGGACGTGTCTAAAACTGCAAAGCCCGTTGCCTAATCAGATCATCCACAAAGGAGAAATATGCTGCAGTTTTTTTAAAATAGAGGAAGTAGTTTATAACCCAAGAGAAAATTAATGGATTGTTAGGTTACCTCCCTATGCATCAACGACCTTCTTTATTTGATCAGATTCATAAACAATCTGTGAAAAAGCAATGGGCCCCTGTGAGATTTTGTATTCTTGTGGGTTACACTTAAATGTTTTAGTACATATATTTTCAAACAATTATTAAGAGAAAATAGCAATCCAAACTAGCTTGAAACATTTGGCCAAAGAACTCATTTTGTTATATAATTTTCTTACTAGTCATTGATTTGTGATGTTCTTTCCTCTCAAGTTAATAACTAGCAGGAGGTCTTAAATCAAAAATTGTTATTGTGATAGATAAACGACAAGGGGGAAAAAAAGAGTTCAAACACTGCGAATCTGAGATGTCACTAGTGTCAGTGAGTCAACATCAGCGGAAACACATCCCATAAAACATATTTTCCCTCAACACAAACCTATAATAAATCACAATGTACATGTGATCAGGTATTTGCGCAGAATTACATGCAAATCCGTCATTAAACCAAGCCATAAGTAGCTATTTTATTAACTTTAGAAAACCTGAGTGTAAATTCACTTCCTTAGCAATCTTAGCCGAAATTAGCTTGCTAACGTAGTGCTAGGTTGAAAAAAATCAACGCTTCTTCAAACAGCTGCAGAGACAAAACAAATAGTTAATAGGCGCGTTTTAACGCTCTTTTTATGCGGTAGTTGTTAAAAACACGACTCACGTAAAAAACGGAGGGAAATTGTACTGCCAGGGCCACTCAAAACTCATCGCAGTTGATGCGGTGTTCACAGCTGACAGCGTCCGGAAGAGCGTCCGACCACACAAATAGTTCCGGCTGAGCACACAGAGCAGAGAGAACTAACGGACTAAACTCATTATTAAAGTGTCTATCAGAATTTATTGGAATTTTTTAAAAGCATTGTAATCAGTATTTCGTCAGGCTGTAAGAAGTTCTGAATTGGTTTCTTCTTCACTTTTTTTTTTTTTTTAGCATATTACATGGACATAAAGTGAAAACGAAGAGGTACAGTCATAATAAAGCAGATAATCTGACAAATTACCCAGCCAGTATATGTCGATCAACTTAAAGAGCAGCAGAAAGTGCATATTCCCCAGTAGAATGAGCACATTCACCTGAAAACTACTAAATTTAGTTGGTTTATTCCATATACAGCTAACAATAAAAAAAGTTATGAACATTATAATTATAATTGATACACTAAATTATTTTTGCAGCAGTAGAAATAATTGTTGATGTTGTTCATATTTTATTTGAATTTCTGTATAGACTTTGAAACTACATCAAGTCAAAGTAATTTCATGCCTGTGAGAAAGTAAAACAGATTTTAAAGCTTTCTTCTAATGCTAATGAATAAAGCTGCAAACATGTTGTCTGTAAATGTGCTCATTTGTTTCACAACTCTTTATGTGTGAAGTTCAAAGCCTAACATCTGTTGTTTCAAACTGGAAAAACTCCACAGAGGAAGTATGGGGTATTATCAAGAAGAAGATGAGAGACTCTAGGCCCAGCGGTTCAGACGAGCTGAGGGCAACTGGTAAAGCACAGGTCTTCTTCAGCACCTCAGTTACCGCATTTATTAACAAATAAATGCTTGAAATGTATGTTGCAAATAAATTACATGAGCTTCCCTCTTAAAAAGATTAGAAAAAGTCTTGATAGCCTGATAAAGACAGCTGGTTGTGTTCTGGGGACGACTGTGGAACCTCTGGAGATGACGATGCAAAGAAGGATTCATCATAAAACCCAAGGAAATGATGGACAACCCTGACCATCCTCATCATGAGACTAAGGAAAACAGAGTCTGTGTCCCCCAAATAACATGAGTGTGATCTATGACACACACAAAAAAAAAGAAAAAGAAACCTTTGTATTTTTTTTCAAAAGTTAATTTATTATAGAAAGATCTTGTGCTTTTTCCACCAACTTAACAGCATAAATATGCCATTTATTGCTATTTACAGGACATACAGCTATGCTAATTTCCACTTTTCTATTTCACCATTAGATTTAGTTTGCTTCAAACTCTCAATAAATCATTATTTCATCTTCATGGCATTATTTTACAATCTCTTTAAGAACAGCATAAATGAAAAATACTCTTACTGTCTTTTAAAATCTATATCTATTTCATTTTCTACTTCAGACCAACATGTTGGCACATGGTGGCATTACTTCAGCTGTCTATATTACAATAAATTCAAGGGCAAAGCGGTGAGAAAAGAGGCAAATATTAGGATACAATCTCAAGTTATTGACTTAAGTGATATAAAATCTAAAATCTAAAACAAACATTTAAAAAAAATATGTCAAATGTTTTAAAATAAAGATGAGAGCTAATTTAAGACAGCATTAATGCTTTCTAGGTGTATCCTGCTTTGTTTTGACACTTTGACTTCAACTAAAAACAAAAAAGAGCAAGAGTCAAAATAGGAGAAAGTGGCTTGTGAGGTTTAGACAGTTTAGAGTCTCGAAGAGAGAAAGCAGTTTGATACAGTGCTTCTTTCACTGAAGAAAAGTCAAACCTGTGCGGCTCAGACACATTCCTAAAAATACTGGCGCAGACAGTATAACAGTGCAAGCGTCCTCAGGTTAAAAAAACAACAACAAAAAAACAAACACAAAAACATACAGAGCAACGGCAGCTGAAAATCCCTCATCTTGGCAGGTTAATTTGCAATGGCACATTTAACTTATTCCAGAAAACAGCTTCAATTTTACATGTGGCATTCAGGCTGCTGATGTACATGCAATGGGAAACCATAAAAAAAACAAAAAAAAAACAAAACAAAAAGAAGAGTCAAGCACTTTATGCACTTTTGTCCGGGTGCACAAGCGACTGTGTTTAGCTAGAGTAGAAGAGACGGCTGTATTCATTCAGGATGAACTCCACGATCTGGTTCTGGAAGACCATGTGCATGGTGATGTTCGCCGTCTCCGTCTCCGGCCGGAGAAGCGTTGGGCCGAACACAATGGCAACGTTCTGTACGGTCATGCGATTGTCCTCTCCATATTCAATTACCCTGTCGTTCAGAGAGAGAGAGAGAGAGAGAGAGACGAAACAGTGAGTCTGGGTAAACTGGAGTTTAAAAAGATTGTATTTCTGTCCCTGGGCAAACTATTTACCTGTTTAAATACAATCTTTTTATTTTTAGCAGAAAAAATTAAGTTGTTTTTCCTTTTTTACATTTCAATTAATTAGATTGTCAGATTCCCGCTGTGTTCCTAGATCTTTTTGATGTTTGACATCAGATATTAAAAAACTTTTATGATTTACCCTCAACTTCACAACTTTGCATTTATTTGTGTTGGTCTATGACATGAAAAACGTTTTTGATGAAACATTGAAGTCGTATTAAAACTTTTAGAAGGCACTGTAAAATGCTATTATTTTCAAAGCAATGCAATAGAAAAATCAATCAGAGCATAAAAAAAAAAAAAAAAAAAAAAAGACTCAAACCTTTGTAAATGCCCAAAAAGCAGTTTCATAGTGTCATGGTTTACAGGAGGAAGTGACTTGACCAGTTCATAAATGTGAGAAAGTTTTGAGTTGTAATCAGGATTTCCTAGAAAAATGAAAGAAAATCGGTAAGTACAGCATCGATATGGAGCAAAAAACAAAATGACAAGATTCAAATAAAAACGAAAGCTTTACTAATTGTTCCATGAAATGACATATCAAAGAAGTGGGAAAAATGTACTTACTTATAGCTGTGACAAACTCATTAAAGTGGCTGAATGGGAAAAGAGGCTCAGGAAGCTCTCGGAAAAATAATTTCAGTGCTCCGGTGATGACGTGAACGTCTTCCCACTGACCGTCCTCCAGGTCCAGCTCCTCTGTTGTAAGACAACGTGTGCACAAAGCATTAAAACCCAGCAGGGGGCGCTGCTGTTTAAAGTTAAAACAAACCATCAATGGACCTCACCATGATCAGCCTTGAAGCGAAGCTTCTGTATGACTGCAAGGTTCCCACTGACTCTGTATAGCCCATCGATATCTAAACCTGGAAATTACCAGCAGCTCTTGATCAACTACTTTAATACAGAAAGAAAAAAAAGGCATGAAATATTTGCCATATTTAACTAACCTCTCCTCTCCACTGCTTTAATACACTTATCCACAAAACTTGGAACTGTGGTCCTCTCGTGGGCACAGAGTGTGTGCAGATGACAACCGAACACGTTTTCTGCAAAGAGTAAGATTATTTTTGACGGCATGAAAAACTAAGATATTAACAAGCTTCCTATTACAAACATCGAGACAAAAAAGCAAAAAGGGCAAGAATGATTGAGATTTATGCAACAAGCTTTATTATTACTGTTTTTATTCTATTTTGATCTGTCGTAGTTACATTATTAGCTGCACGAAATCTGATGCCACCCATTTAAGCCTTATATATGTGTGTGTGTATATATATATATATATATATATATATATATATATACGGATATATATATATCTCCGTCAGCCATCCATAAAATCATTGGTTAGATTGGTTAGAAATCCTTGTCAAACTGACCTCTGATGTAGCCTTTTTCCTTGACTGACTGCAGCGTTGGGCGCTTCATGAGGAACTTCATCAGCTTGGTCCGAACTTTCTTCGGGTCCGTTTCCCCTGCATTGTTGGGCGATTGAGATATGCTTGGCCTTGGAGCTAAAAAAAAAAAAAAAAAAATGATACACAGAGTGTGACTCCATATTTCGTGGTCACAGGTGAAGGCAGAGATCAAGAGGCTAGTCTTTTAGCTTCATCACAAACAGGATCGAAGACATAAAGTGTCCCTTGAATGTCCAGTACACACTGGAAACAAGCTTCAACTGTGTGCTCAGAATGTGAAACCAGTTCCTGTCTTTGGATGTGTAAGCATAGCAATATAGCCTTCAAAATCATTCACAGTACTACTTACTAATGTAGTACTTTAAGTCTTCTTCAGATCCGCAAAACACAAATAGACCCGACAACCAAACACACAAACAACAGTTCTAAATAAACTTTCCCAGGCAGGATAAGTCATTTAAAACTTCACAGAGGTAAAAAAAAAAAAAAAAGTCCTTTTCCACATAATCACCAAACTCCTCCCACAGATGATTTTTAGTTTCTACAACCATACAGAACGTTGTCCTTCTGGGCATCTTGTGCCAAGGTGCCGTTTGTTGCCAAAGGCAAGGATGCTCAGTTGATTAAAAACATTTCACCAAAATTAAGTTAACCCACGTTTTCGCTTGTCTACGGCAGCGCCGGGCTTCTCGTCTCTGTCTACGTTGCCAATTTTTTCATACAGGTCCCCATCCTCTTCCTCAGAATGATGCTCCTGGTAGTCCTGAGGAACGGACATGAATGCAGTGTTGAGACATGAACACGGATTAATTTAGTTTCAATCTGAGCAAAGTATGTTTATAACTATTTTTTTGTTTTTGTTTTTTTTTTTGTTTGGCAACAATGAATATTCCCAGCAATTTCGTATGTACAGTTTTCTTTTCTTTTCTTTTCCTGGTAAAGCAATTGACAAAATCTGAATCCAGTGACAGTTTGACCCTTTTACTTGTGTAGTAAACAGTGACGCTTATGCTTGACCAAAGTAGGTTAAATAAAACGATCTAATTAGCTTGGTGCTAAGTTTCTTAACTTTGTAATCGTGTTATTACAACCATCAAAAAAAAAACAAAACAAAAAAAAAAAAAACGAGTCATTGACGGAAGCAAAGAGGGTAGAATCTTACAATGTAACTAAATTGTATAATTTAGAACATACTTAAGACTTTTTAAAACCTCGACATGGAGGTTTTGGCCACTTATTTCAATCGTAGTTT